GCTGTCGGCCGGGCGCGGCGGGCGCCTGGCAGCTGGTCACCGCGGCCGCGTGCAATCGGCTCCGCTCGGCCGCTCTGTCATCGTCACGGTCCACCGGCAGGAACGCGGCACCAGCATGGCCCCGCAGGCGGACAAGAACGCTGCGATGTCAAGGTATACTGCTAGTCGGCCAGCGAGATAGTAGTTGTAGTTGAGCTCGGTCTAGTCGCCTTCCGACAGACGAGGCAAAGGCGTCAAAATCGGCAAGAACTCGAAGAGAAGTATTGCTGTTGAGCTTGTTTTCCTGAACGCACGGAACCGTGCGTCAAATGCCAATGTATGGGCATAAAACATCATCTCCCGGAGGTAAGCGGTACTGGTCGCTGATGCATGTCCGTGTTGCACGCCTCACCCACCTGTGCTTGTGTGCCATGTGCCGAAGTCTAATCGAGTCCATCGGAGGGAAGCGATAAAAGCTGTACGATTGTTAGTTTAGATGATCCCGGAAATTCGACGTGCCAAAGCTAATCACTTTACGCCTAAATCTGCATCAATATTTGACGAGTAATTCCACGATTTTTCAGTGACATCAGGAGTGATTTAGTGAATTATCAGATTTGTTCCTCGCGTTCTCCGGTCATCCGTGGAGTGTTCCAGCGCGTGTGCGCTCACTTGTATGCTCACTCGTATTCCAGTACAGGCTGTGCGCGGCCGCTCCCGCCCGGCCCCCGCCCCGCGCTGACCCCGCCCGACTGTGACCTCACCCCGCGCTGACCCCCGCCCGACACTGGACCGCGTCCGGCCCGGTCGGCAGGGGTCGTCTGCCGTTCATTCGGACGATGAGCATGGAGCAGCGCTGGCAGGACCTGGCCAGCCTGCTGTCGCTGCCTCCACAGGACCCCAACATGACGCACGCCCACCAGCACATGCTGGCCACGCACCACGGCCACGGCTACCCGTACCCGGCCGCGTACGGGCCGGCCGGCCACCCGGACATGGGCGCGCTCGGTGCTGCTGCAAAACGCCAGCCCTGGCACCGCCCGTCGGCGACCTGGCCGCCAACGGCAGCTACGCCAACGTCAGCATGGGTCAGTCGGAGCCGGCGGAGGCGGGCGCAGCGCGCGCCGCCGTGCGCGCCGGCCGCCGTCGTACAGTCAGGTGTGTCGCCCGGACGGAGCAGGCGCCGCCGCAGGCTGTTGGCACCGGTGGGGCCCAGTGAGGGCGAGCGTCGGCTTCGGTCGAAATGAGGCGATTTGGTACTGGAATGCGCAGTCGATTTGATGTCGCCCTTTGGGCATGGGGGACACGCCAGTATGTGCCTCGCATAGTTTATGGGTGGTTATGTTTGGTTCAGAACGCTTTGCTGTTCGGCGCGCCGCCTTGCATCTGTGCAGGACTGAATGTGATCCGGGCGCAGCGGGACTTTGATGGACCGTGACCGGCTTGTGGGCCGCGGTCTGCTTGCCTCTTGTGCGCCTCGTCATCTGCCGCTGACCCCGACACTGACCCTGACACTGAGCTATCTCGGCGCCGGCAGGGAGTGTCTCCCACATCGGCTCGGCGGTGGTCTCTTCGATGAACCTGACCACGGACGGGCTTCACGCGCACGCGGGCCGCCACTAGCGCCGCCGGTGCCGAAATGATGTACTACCCGAGCACGGCCGCGGCGCCGGGCGCGGCCGGCCCCGAGCCGGCGCCGGCCGGCGCCCCGACGGCGGCTTCCTCTCGCAGATACTCGGCGTCGACGAGCTGCAGCTGATGGAGATGCCCATTGCCGACGGTGAGACGCGTGCTGAAGCGGGACCAGCGCCCGCCTTTCCGTCAGCGGCGGTCGGCAGCTGGCTGCGGAGGTTATCACGCCCAGTCTGAACTGAGTGGCGCTTGTTGGCGTGTCGCTGGCCGGGGAGGGCTGCTTCCGTTCCACCACAACAGCGAGCGCGATGGCCGCTCCGATGGCGTGACGTCAGTATGGTCTTCAGCATCAGCATTTCAGCGTTTGAGAGTGGTTTGGCGTTGGGACAGCGCGCCAGGGGTCGTGCGAATGGCGATGTTTTCGTGTTCAGATCGGATCGATTGTTCCACAAAACATACCTTCTGCGTGCGGGCTGTGGTGAAATGTGCGATCATTCCGCCTAAGTTGGTTAAGGCTTTGTTGTTATGCAGCTTGGCACGGGTTCATCAGGCGTTTCTATTCCGTTTCTTCTGGATCCGAAGCGAACCCAGGAGAGCGGCAGGCAGCCGTAGGAGCCTCGCGGCTGGTCGCGGCTTTCCGTAGGCTTGTGAGCACGAAGTGCGTGAGACGCCACCAACTCTGCTCTAAAGCAGAGCTTTGTTTTCGCCGTCCGGTCGCCGTCTGTCCCGGCAAGTTCTTTCGAGCTGCCTCCTGACCCGCCTTGTTCCGGCTCATAGGCGTGTTCCGGCCGATTCGATCGTCGAAGTCCTTGTGCCGGTTCTCGCAACATGCCGTCCACTGCTGTCCGCCGCACGTGTTCGCTTGGGGCGTGGGCTTGTTTTTTTTTTTAGGCCCGGCGTGTACTTGGGACCACCGGGCTGGGTCTTGGTGAGGAGTTGAGCATGCGGGCGCGTTGGTCGACATTTCAGTCCGCTTCAGAGATATGACGAGGACCGCCGACTATACCCGATAAGCCCGGGGGCCTCGGAGGCAGGGGCGGTGGCGCGTCACGCCCTCACCGCCCCTGCCCTGAGGCACGATACTCCACGGTGCGCGTCGTGCCCGCAGCCGCGCCGCGGCCCTGCTCGGCCGTGGCGTCTTACGGCGGCGCCCGACGACAGCGGCGGGCGCGGCGCCGGCCGATAAGCGGGGCCGGTATCTCGCTCGGCGGCGGCGGTGGCTCAGGACTAGCGACAAGAGCGCGGCCGCAGGCGGACGCGGAGCGAGCAGCGCAGCGGCGCCCGGCGATGCGCGGCCCGCCGTCTCAGTGCAAGTATCACTAGACGTCGGCCGCGCGTCCGCCGCGCCGCGACCTGCCATGCTGCCGGCGGCGCGGCCGGTCTACACGCCCTCCTACGCGCCGCCCACCTGTCCCTGCTGCCGGCAATACGTGTTGTTCACCGCGCCCGGCGTCTGCCACCAGACACCATGCGTGCCGCTCGCCGGTAGGTGGCGTTGGGACGGCTGCGGCCGACGGCGTCCGGGGAGGGCGCCGAGGTGCGCCGCTCCTGGTCCTGTGGGTACTCTCGGCCGCCCGCAGGGGCGCTCTTAGACTCCGCCGAAGCACTGCTCTGGCTGCCGGTCTGGCCGCCCTATAGCCATGACGCATCTAGTCGCTCTTTGTTACAGGCTGTCTGGATTGCACAAGCCAAAATAAGGGCTTCCCGTGTACTTTCGCTGCCTGCGTCTTGCCAGATAGCGTATCTGTTGGCCTGGGTATCAGCGAGGCGGCTAGTCGCGGCTCTGTGTCGCGGCTGCCGCCGTCGCCGCTGCTAGCCGTCACGCCGCCGCCGTCCCTCTGTGTCCTCTGGCCTCGTGGTTCCGCTCGCGGAGTGTGGTGCAGCTGGCGGCCGGGGGCGTCCGCCTCCGAGTGTCGCGCGGCTCCGCGCCGCCGGAGAGAGGCCAGCTGGCCGCGCTGTGGCCGCGGCCGGGTACGGCGCCAGCGGAGGCCGGGCTGGGTGCCGCCGGGACGCGACCCCGACCGGAACGGCGGCCACCCCGCCCGCCGGCGTGCTTTGCTGCGGCGCCGCGGACGGCCCGGCGCCGACCGTGCCGTACGTTCTCAAGGGCACGGCCGCTGCAAGGGCGCCGCCGCCGGCAGGCCCGCGTTGAGTCGTGTGTACGCGGGTGTTGATGTCACTGCAGTCTGGCCGCCGTCTGCCTGCAGAGCGGTGTGTGTGTGCGCCTGTGTGACGTCACCTATCGGTCCGCGGAGCCGCGCCTTGGCGGCGGCCGTGTGCAGCTGTGTGCGCGGCGCGGCTCGCATGGCTGACGCCGTGCTCCCGGCCGCTAGGTCATCTGCCTGAGTGGGTCAGCACGAGCGGGGCGGACGACCAGTAACTTACTCGCCGGCCGGCGACTATGCCAAGTGAGTGCCGTTCCGCCGCCGCCCGCCGCGCGGCAGAGGGGCTGGCCAGGGTGCTTTGCACTGGGTCAACTGTTCTGGGCTGCGTCGCGTGCTCCAGTGGCCTGTTGTATCGCATATGTACCCTGAAGTGGTGTGAAGCACCAGTTAATCGTGCACAACAGCGAAACGATCTATACCACGTCTGAGCGTCCGCCCGCGGACCGACCAAAGGATCCGAGTTTGCCGCACAGCGCGTCACTGCGCCGTCTCGCAGCGCGCTGACGCCCGGCCGCCGCGCCGCAGGGCTTCGCAGGCTCATCGGCTGTTACGAGTACGGCGGGTACCGGGCGGCGGCGGCGGCGGCGGTCTCCGGCGGCGCCTGGCCAGCCGCACGACTCCCGGGCCGCCAGTCTGGGCCGGTCGCTCAGAAGAAGCACCAGATGTTCGGCAAACGCTACTTTCAGGGCCCGGACGGTAAGAAGCCGCTGCGTGACGCGGGCAGCGGCAGCGGCGCCGGCGGCTGGACGCGCTGTTCTTGCGTCATTCCGGAATGCTCAGAGTTGGCATGATTGTCGCGAAATGTTTTATCATGTTAAACGGCCAATCCAGAGAAGTGGGTGGCGTCATTTCTGTCCAGCAGCATGTGTTCTGCTTCACATGTGCCCTTATCGTGCACAAGCGGTGAAGCTGGCGTCCTGTTCCACCGCTGACGACGAGCGTCGCCGCCAATTGCGCCCCGCGCGCGTGACCGCTGCCGATGGGGCGTGGCCAGCTGCTGTGACGCCGTCGCCCGCCTCTGACCGTGCGCCGCCGGCCGCCAGGTGCGTACGGCGGCTCGGGCCCGGCCGGCGCGAGCGTGCTGCCGCCGGGCTCGCCGTCGCCAGCAGCAAACGCTCAAATACACGCCGTACGGGGGCGGAGGGCGGTGCGCCGGCCGGCCACCCTGCCTACCCGCCGGCCACGCCCGGCGCCGCCGAAGCCGCCGCCGGCCTCGACCTCGCCGGAGCTCAAGTACAGCTGCAGCATGGACTTCATGAGGGGGGTGAGTGCTGCTGCGGGGACCTGGCTGGACCGTGGGGTTCTCCACGGTGGGGTGGGCGGCCGTGTGAAACGGTGGAGAGGACAGAAAAAGACACCGGGCGGCAAACGCCCAGGAGAAACGGCGACTGGCGTTGTGCTTCGAGCGCGTGTTGTTAGGAGCGAAGGGATCATTCTTCTGTGGTTGTGTAATGGGTGACCGAGTTTTCAAAGACTCGTTCGGGGGGGGGGGGGGGGCGGGGCTGTACTAATTTTAACCGTGCGGCACTGGCGCAGAAGCAGAATGAGCGTTGCTTTGACACAAGTAACAAACGCTTTGCAGCTATCGTTACGTTAGCTCGTGCCGTATACGTTAGCTCATGCCAGGCTTCACTCCCTGCTGTGCATGTTTTGGACGCTGAGTCCGTCTTCTGGATGTTGCGTCCGGTCCTAGCCACGGCTGTCGGTGTCGGGCCTGCGCCGTGTCGAGCTTGCGCGTCGGCTGACGGCCGCCTCTTCCGTCAGCACCCTGGCGGCGACCGGATGGGTCTGGTGTCGCACAACCACAGCTACCACCTGCCGCCGCAGACAGAGGGCCCCAGCGGCGTGCAGCGGCCCCTGGCCAGGGACAAACGTGAGAGCCGGGGCGGCAGGAGTGGCCGCTCCCCGGCGGCGGCTGGCTGGGTGGCCGGCGGTGCGGGGCAGGCCATAGCGCATGGGCTGGCGGCAGTGATGGCGGCCCAGGCTGAGGGATTTCAGGTCGTTTGTGTATTGTGTAACCGTGCCAACGGGGTTTGCTGCCGGGTTTTGTGCTAGGAACAGAAAACAAACACATGTTACAGCAGGGAAGGTGGTGCGAACATTCTCGTTGTGCGTGCATATAACTCATTGCTGCTTTCACCCCAGTGGCATCCTTCTTTAAACGCCTTCTGTCCAACCGAGCATCGTCACCACGAACCGACATTGATCTTTAAACCAGACACAGCTAGGTACCCGAACGCCGTCGCGTCCTCCTGGTCCATTCGGACATCGCCACCATCCCAGCCGGAGGAGCGTCGCGGTAGTCTGCGTCGACACCGCTGTCGCTCGTGCCGTGCCACTTCTGCCGTCCCAGCGGCGACCGCGCTCTGTTCTGCTGACCTGACACAACCCGGCCCGCTGGCCTAACCTGACCTGGCGTGACCTGACCCGCCAGACGGCGAGCGTCCCAAGGAGCACCTGACGCGGGACGAGAAGCGCGCGCGCGCCATGAGCATCCCCTCAGCACGGACGACATCATCCACCTGCCGATGGATGAGTTCAACGAGCGGCTCTCCAAGCACGATCTGACCGAGGCGCAGCTCAGCCTCATTAGGGACATCCGGCGGCGCGGCAAGAATAAGGTGTGTCCGGCGGCTGCCCCCGCGCGGGAAGCCAGCGACGCCGGCTGGGATCCGCTCCCGACTCAATGTTACGACCAACGGAGCCTGCGAGTGTCGGGCGTTTGTTAAGGCTCCTGTGCAGATATATAGGAAATACGCTTGGTTTCAGTTTAACCGAGTTCGATGTTTGCTGGTTTTGTAATAGGTTGCGCAGATTGGTCATTGTAGTTGCATTTCTTGCTGTGAATGTTCTGCAGATAGGATGTTCCCAGGCTAAATATGCAGCCAAGCTGCGTGCTTAGAGAACCCCGTCCACACCTGTGCGTGGTCTGAGACGTCTGCCGTCGCGAGGACCCGTGACCCTGCTGTGGTCGTCGGCCGGTAGCGTGGTCCGTCTGTTGGTGATCGTGTTTGGGCCTACGGTGTGGCGTCCCGTGGCGCCGGAGGTAGACTGGAGCGGCCCGCCGCGCCGAGCCGCTGACGCCGCCTGCCTCCTGGAGATCAGCCAGAGCGGCCCGCCGAGCCGCTGACCGCCACCCGCCCCCGGGAGGTCAGCCAGAGCGGCCCGCCGCGCCGAGCCGCTGACCCCGCCCGCCCCCGGGAGGTCAGCCAGAGCGGCCCGCCGCGCCGACTCGCTGACCCCGCCCGTCCCTGCCCCCGCAGCTGGCCGCGCAGAACTGTCGCAAGCGGAAGCTGGACCAGATCCCTGACGTTGGCCGAGGAGGTGCAGCGCGCCAAGGACCAGAAGCAGCAGACGCTGGCCGACCACCAGTTCCTGAGCCAGGAGCGCAGCCGCATCAAGGAAGAAGTACTCGCAGCTGTACAGACACGTCTTCCAGGTGAGCGCGGCGGTATCCGGCGAGCGCACGCCGCGCCTCGGGCTGCGCCGGCGGCCGAGCGCGGTGCAGGGGTTAGCGCGGCCGCGCTCGAGGCTCGCCGGCCTGGCTGGGCGGCATCCGATAGTGTCCCTCCCACGAACGAAAGATGGGATCTGTCAATAGTCGGCGACCGAGTTGACTGGGAAGACGGCAGATCTGCCGAGGAGGGCTCGGTGCTATCTGATAGGCAGGCGCTGCGCCACCATGCGCCTCGTAAATGTGTGGTGATTGATTGATTGCGTAATGTTTTGTACGTTATCGAGCGACTGTCCTTGTGTGCCGTGTTAATGATTGCGAATTACTGGCCAGTGTGGATTTAGTAAGTGATACAAAAAAATTGCAACGGAGTCATGCAGGCCCTGTGTGTTCATGGTTGGTTTGTTTCTCCGGTACTGCAGACGCCGTCGCCTGGGCTACCCGTCCCAGTATACATCACTTGACTATTGGTAGGGCTGCGGGTGGTTCGTCGACGTGGTGACGGTTACGGGGGCGGTGTCTGTCGTGTTGAGTTTGCGGCCGGCCCGGTCCAGACTGACGCCCGCCTCCCGCCCGACAGTCGTTACGGGACCCGGACGGCAACCCGTACTCGCCGCTCGAGTACAGCCTGCAGCAGTCGGCAGACGCAGCATCCTGCTGGTGCCGCGCAACGCCACCAGCGGCGCCACCGTCGAGCCCGACCCGTCCACCGGCGCGCGGCGCAAGCAGCGCGACCCGCAGAAGCCTGAGTGAGCGGCCAGCCCGCGCGCGCGCGCGCGCGAGCCGCGCGCCGCCCTACTGTGATCCTGCCCGGCCCGCGGGGGCGCCCGCGAGCCCAGGCCAAGCGCAGCCCTCGCCCCGCGCCGCGCCGCTCCTGAACAGATCCCTATTCCCAAAGATGGTACAACACGTTTTTTTAATGTTGCTCAAACCGGAGAAGGCGCCGTGGGCAACCTGTTGTTTTATTTGTGCGTGTGTCTTCGTGTTGTGAGGCATGGTGACGGTGCCCGCCGCACTGCTATTGCTTGGGTGCCTTTGGCTTGTCTACACCACTCTGGGACGATTTACACGTACTTCTGTGGCCACACGCCAACCATCACTGCGCGTAGGTAACCGGAACTGAGTAGGTTTTAAAGGGCACGAAGTCAGCGTGGGGTGCGTGGTCGCACGGTCGCGGACACCGGGCTGACCGTCGCCCACCGCGCGGCGCGGCACGCTCGCCGCACGGTCATACTCACTGGAATTACCGGGCGAGGGGGCGGGACCGATAGTGGCTAGTTTCGTATATTTTGGAAGTCATTGACTAGAGATTCGTTCGTTTAAACGTCATCGCCGACTATGAAGTGTTAATGTGTAAATGCGCTGTCCTCCACTTAGGCGACTGATGTCTAATAACTAGTGAAAAGAGCAGGCGTTTGGTACGTGATCGCCGGGCGTAGCACGTGGGGGTTCGGCCACCACGATGTGTGTCGAGATGGTCCCGAGCAGCGGACCATGTGATTCTGTCTCAGAGCCATCTCTCGGCTGTGTCGAGACAAAGCTTGCGCGGCGTAAAGGGGAATGTTTGAGCTGTACTTGTGCTTCGATTTCGCGTCCATGTTTTCGTTCGCTTTGTTTCGTTTTCTATATGTGCGGCCACACTTGCCGAACACCAAACGGTGGACGTCTCTGAACGAGGCACGTGATCGCCGATCGAGGATGATCGCCGAGTGAAGGAACCGAAACGCCGTCGCTGTGGCTGCACCGATGCGTCGACCTGCCCGACGGCCTGTGCACCTGCTCAAAGGCCGGCTCGCACGGGTTCAGGGCGTTTGCGAACTTAACGGATAACTGATCATCGAACATTGAAAATGCCAAGAGGCGCCGCAACTGCGGCGCCCTTGTGAGTTATTTTCTTATTCATGGTCTTAATATCGTCCTTTCTCAGATCTTACTCGTGTTGATAGTGGAACATGTGAGTTAGAGTTGGAGATAGCTGGATAGGGAAATATTTGGTTGACGATGGTAAGTAAGGTCGAGATAGGCCACAGGAAGCCTGTCTTGATGCTCCCGAGCAAAATGCTTGCAATGTAGGCAAAGCCGCAGCGGCACGGGGGTCGTTTTGGTAAATAGGATGGGGAAGTGGTAGGTTGTTGTATGGGCTAAGTCCACCATAAATCTGCGCTCGAACTGTCCGCAACCCGCAGAGTTTGCGTGCATTGAGGGGGAGCGCCGGGTGCACGTGCCCTTGCCTTACCAAATTGTACTGTACTGATATGCATGTCGATGAATGGCGACAGTCGACAGTTGAGGTCATCAGGTTGCGCTCCTTTTAGGTTAAGACAACAGTTTAAGTCCGATGGTACCATTTGTCTAGCATGATGCAGACTATTGTCTTCGATTGAGGACAGCAAGCTTTTCTATTGCAAATGCAAGCTGACTTGAATATCAACGAAACATTTGCACTGTGACTCCACGAGCGCCAGAGGCGAGCGCAGGCGCATAATGCACTCCTGCAAGCAGGGGTGCAGTTTTATGTTCAGTTGAGGGGGGCTACAAGCCCTTTATTTCAGCTGCCCTCAAGTTTAAGAAGAAAGTGGGCGCATCCCGGGGATAATCCCGTTTGATGGCGTCTTTAATCTAGGTTGCATCCAATTTCATCAATCAGCTCCCCCCGCCCCCAACTCATTTTGCGAAGGTACCCGCTCCCTGCAACCCCTCTGACTACATCACTGGCTCTAGCCGCTGGGCCGTGGTATGTCAGTTGTGCTGACGCACGCTGACGCAGCGACACCTTTCTTTCACGTCTGAGGCAAGTTTTTGACCTTACCTAGCAGCTATATACGAGCTACCAGATCCAGACGCTTGCATGTTCGTAGCACCCTAGATTGGAACGTTGTTAGTGTATTCACCAATGATATTTCATAATGTGAAACTATTAGCCAATCACAGAACTGGTACGAAATCTTGCCGCTAACACCTCTTGCGAACACAGTCCGTCAGTGGGTACTTCCTGTTGCGGGGTGCTGTGCGAGTGGTCGGGAGTTGGTTTCATTGGTGTCGAGAGGTATTTGTGTTATCATTCATTCGCGACAAGGGGAAGGTGAAGATGTCAGGACGTTCCAGAGAACGCTCCAGAACGTGAGTGATCTGTCTATGCATTTGTAAGAGGCTGAAAATATTGGCAGGTTTCGGTCCAGGCGCGCCACGAATGCTCCACTGTATGTTTGCTTCCAAACGTGCGTGCGGCGTGCTTCAACGATACAGCGAGTCGCATTGCAGCTGAGGCGCATGAGAGAAGGAGGGCGGGAGACCCTGTGCATAAAGGTTCCCTGTTCCAAGAAAACCCAACAGTTATCAGTGGTGTGAGCTATCAGCAAATCTGCGCATTTGGTAGGATTGTGCGAAGTCATGGATCCTGAAACAGCAAAACTTCTGTTTGAGGGGGGAGCAACAGTAGTGTTTTTAGATGTGCCTCAAAACACAGAGGTTGGCATTGACATGAATGTTTGGAGAACTGGAGAAAGATTCAAGGGTTTGAAGATGATACCTCCTGGGTTTCACATGTTGCATTACAGTGCAGTTGGCAAAGAGGGTGTACCTGCACCAAGGACAAGCTCATTTCACATGTTCAGGGAGAGAGAAGTCTTTGTTCGTAAGTGGGATCCATCCTCAGAAACTTTGGTGGAGACATCTGACAGTGATGAGGATCAAATCAAAGCGAACAAAAGAGAATTGGACAGGTTCTTAGGAGCTTTTCCCTATGAAACTTGGAAGCAGTGGTACTCCCTGACGTCACATGTTTATGAAGATCTGATCCAAAAAGTGAATCCGCTGTCAGGGACATTGTGCTCAGCATCAGAGCTAGAGCCAGATGATGAAGAGGAAAATGGAGGCTGGTGGGAGGTGGTGTCATGTCTGAGGAAAAGATGCTGCCCAAAATGCATGTTAGGCATGGCACTGAGTTGAGATTTTACTCAGCTTCCATCAGTTCAGTGTCTAGAAGATGCATCTCCAGAGTTCAAGACCAAGTACTCACTGGACTCCTCACAAAAGCTTGAGAGTATGCTTGAGGTGGTTCCAAGTCCAGACCACCTTCTGGGGGAGCTGCAGGTAGCCTTTGTAGCATTCCTGGTTGGTCATGTGTATGACTCTTTTGAACATTGGAAGAGGCTGGTCCACATGTTCTGCACATGTGATGAGGCACTGGGGAAGTACCCTGACCTTTTCCTCAAGCTGCTTTCATGTTTGCATTATCAGATACAGGAGGTGCCAGAGGACTTTTTCACAGACATCATGTCTAGGGAGAATTTCCTGGTGCATACTCTGCACACCCTGTTCTCTAACCTGGAGGATGAGAACATACCACAGACTCTGAAGCAGAGGGGTGTTCTGTTCAAAACTCACCTCATCAAGAAGTTCAAGTGGGACTTCAGTGAAGAACCAGAGGATTTTGCACCAACCATTGTTGAAACTGAGTGATCACACATATGTCCATGTGATATGTGTGGTCTATGATCACACATCTAACAAGGTCTCTGTGATGGACTCACAATGTGGTTTTAGTTCATGGCACTTCGGAATGTGTATTCATTTTGCTTTACATGTGACCTATAATGTAATAACTCAAAATGTGTCATGGAGAGAAACTAGCTCAAAACTTAGATGAGCGGTTGTGTGATAGGGCAGGACTTGTGCATGGAAAGTTGTTTGCAAATTTTCTATAAAATGCCTTTGCCTGATCATAATAAACTGTTATGCATTGGTGGCATGATTTTGCCTGCTTGTCCCATCACTTTCCTTCTGGTATTTTCTTTCTTAGACATGTAAGGAAGATGTAGTGCTGTATGTTGTGCTTCTTGGCAACCAGTGAGGTGGTGGTTCAGCTGTGGTGACAATACAATTGCTGAGGCAGATTCCTGACACCAGTTTTGTTTTATTTGTGTAGCAGAAACAACTGGAAGGAAATGATCTATAATACATGTGGTGCATTGTCATGTAAGCTGTAGCATTAACATGCTACCATGCAAGTGTGGCACAAAATGTTAATGTTTGCCATGGTGTAAATTTGGTAACACACACATGGGATATTAACATACCTGTAGAGAGGCAATGAATATGCTGTTTGCCTAAATGGGGTGGGGATGGAGGGAGCAATGGCCATTTTTGATTATTTCCTCTCCATCAATATGCATAGCCTCAATGTTACATTTTCATAAAGTTTGTGGTTCATTCCCCCTTATGCATACCAGTTCCAGTGCCCCTGTGGCCATATGGCATGATAATAAGTTCTCTACATTGCTTGTTTATGTACTTTTGGGCCTGCTGCATGCCGACCAGTGCACAATGGTGTTGACATAGGGACAGAAAATGGATTGTGGTGGTCACCACTAATTTTGCAGTACCCTCTGCAGTGCTCTGCCTTCACATCTAGCATTGCTGTCATCTAATGCCAGCGCTACTTTTCTACAACACAACAGTACACCTGTGGTCATTCTCCCATATTTAACTATGCATGCTTGACATCTAAGTGGTTAGGGGCTGGTTATGTCATGTGAGTGTTACCTGAGGGGACTATGGTCTGGATGTTGCTTCTGCAGATATATGTGTAAACTAAATGTTCATGTTTTGCAGTATTTTCAATATTCCCCTCCATTGGTCATAGCCTGAGTGGGCACTCCATGACCAGATGGGCTCAGTGACAGAAAGCCCTGTAAGTGATCAGTCAAGCAAGCACTGGATGGTGTCTGTTTATGGCACACGGTGATCTCCGTGCAGACAGCCCCTGAGGAACTGCAGACCCTCCCCCTGTAGAGCTGTGTGGGTGACCCAGCGCCTGTCCACCGCAGACTGCCCGGGCACTACGAGTGAGGACGCTGGCAAGGCCTCCTCGTGCGCCGGCTGTCCGAACCAGCAGATCTGCGCCTCCGGACAGGCGCGCGCTCCCGACCCCGGTAGGTCACGTAAGCTCTGAAGCGCTCGGTACTCCGCTGCGGCTCATTACCAGGTGTGTCGGAACATCTGTCCCGCACCGTGTCACGTCAGCGCCTATGGCTTCCGCGGACGGCCTACCGAAATGGCCTGATGGTATCCTCTCAAACCACGCATCGTGTGGATGTGCCGGGTAGTGCGTTTCTAGGGTGAAGAAACGCGGAATTGATC